TCGGACCGCAAACGCTTGATTTTCTTCTCAAGTTGATTTTTTACCTCAGCTTTATAGACCTTAAAATAATGCAACACTTTATCTTTTGTTTTCAGCAAATACACGTAGCAAAATCTAGTGCAATCATCTATAAATGTCATGAAGTATCGTCTGCCGCCTTTAGTCAATTCGCCATTCATTTCGTATAAATCAGAATGAACGAGTTCTAATGGTGCCAAGTTTCTCGCCTCAGCAGCCTTGTGAGACTTGCGTGGTTGCTTCGATTGCACACATACCTGGCACTTAGAATCTTTGACTAAGTTAAATTTCGGGATTAAATTCAGATTTACAAACCACGTGAGACAACCAAAATTAATGTGATAAAGTCGTGAATGCCATATATTCGACTCATCTGAAACATTAACATTGTTCACCACTTTATTACACACATCATCAAGCAAAGATAAGCGGAACAAGCCTCCGCAATCATAACCTTTTCCGACAAATGTTCCATGTCTCGACACAACATATTTATTGGACTGAAGCACAATTTTAAAGCCATCGCGACACATCTGAGAAGCGCTAACAAGATTCTTCTTGATGGAGGGGACATGCTGCACATTCTTTAATAGCACCATCTTTTCTGAAGTAAACTTCAGAACGACCGTACCAGCACCAAGAACACGTGCATGCGAACCATTTCTCATCAGCAAGGCTCCACTCCTGCCGCCCTGATAGATAATAAACAAAGAAACATCAGCACGCACATAAATATTAGCACCACTGTCCATCCACCACTCTGGTGAAAGACAAACTGAAATAACAAAAGGTAAAGAATTACCATATCCAGATGTTCCTCCTCCAGTCTCGCTAATTACCATGTTTGCTGATTTCTTTTCTTGCTTATATTTACGGTCTGGGCTCGCACTTGTCCAATGCTCATCACTCCCGCAAACAAAGCAACCTCCACCTTTCTTGTGTTTTTCTTCTTAAACTGTGTAGTCTGTTTAGGCTTTGCATTGTTGTTCTCTTGCATGTTCTTCTTCTTTTTATTATGAGATGCAAATGAGTTTTTCTTCTGCACCATATTGGCGGCGGAAGACTCAACTCCTTTTCCACGGTTGTCTTTTGCTCTCGCCCTCTCCTCAACATCAAGAGATCCAATAAGCTCAGTCATGCTAAACTCTTGTCTCTTGTGTTTTAGAGAAGTAGCAAAATCTCTCTAAGAAGGTGGCAGCTTAGCGATTATACCGCCGACCACAAACTTGTCGTGCAACAGACATGGGAAATGTTCTAGTTCCTTCGCTTGCGCCTGTATCTCATGGCCTGTTCGACCACAGGACGGTTTTCAACCATTTTGTAGTCATACAGCTGCTCCATAAGGTACAGCTCACTGCCAGCATCAGAAACCCCAAACTTTGCCTCAAGAGCATCCCATAACTTTTGGCCTGATGTGCAAGATATGTAGTTTTTCTCATACTTGGGATGAAGTGCACTAATCACGGCGCCTCAAAATAGGTTATCGACAGCCAAGAACTTTCGCTCCTCCGTAGGAGTAAATTGTTCAGGCTTCCCCTGCGCGGCGTGATAGCTGTTCATCGCAGTCAACCACAATACCATCTTGACACGCCATATCATGAAATTCTTGCCATCAAAATTATTTGGCTTCAAAGCAGCAGCAAAACCACTGACAAAAAATTACCTAACATTAGATTTTTGGATTGTTAGAATTTTAGATATTTTCATTATCAGTTTAATCCAGAAAAATAACATCAGCAGATTTGTGTCGGCATATATGTGCATATGTATATATCTAACAAACGCTACGGCATGCAGAGATGACATACAGATAGAAACAGTAAAAGTACAGATAACAGTAATCAGAAAGATTAGACTGTACCCAGCGGAGGGTCCCATGCCGAGGGCATCGGAGGCTCCATTCGCACTAGTCGATATAGTGCGTTGCTCGAAGTCGCGGACCACAGTCGATGCATGACGATGTTCGCAGTGCAGTCCCACGAACGGATCACCAGGAAGAAGACAGCTTGCGGTTCCGTGGACAATCACCGGGAAGGAGACGGGATCTAGACGAGCAGTCGCGGATCGCTCCCCAAAAACCTAATCGTTACGCACCCCGTGCAAGGTTCTCTGGCGGACGAGGGTTCCGGAGGCACCTACTCTCCCGCTACTCCGTGCGCGCAGAGGAACGGGATGGGGAAGACAGAGGGCTGCGGAGATGTAGATTCTCTCGAACAGTTGCGGAAGACAGGGTCTAGACTGACAGAGGACTGCGGATATATGGGTGCGACTGGGAAAGGGACTAAGGCAGCGGAGAGTCCCAGGAGACGGAAAGCAGAAGGGACGGTAACTGACGCAGTCAGTTCGCCTCCACAATCAAGGAGCAAAACTCCCGTGATAATGTGGATTTAAGTGGCAAAAGCGAAACTCCACGCGCTGTAGCTTTAAGCACATTCGCCGCTTGCCGCTGCAAACCACGCCGCCCGGCCGGCCATGGCGGCGGCGCGGCGTGTGTGTGTGGCGCCTATATATCATTTTCTCAGCTTCTCAATTTAGATGAATACTTTTCAATCATATAAGCTGAGACAGCGTTCAGTCAAAATCTCGTATGGTATTAAACCATACAACACTTAATGTTACATAGTTTTATTTAATTATTAAATATTATATGGGCCAAGCCCATATTATATCCAACAAACACTAAATCTTTTATCCTCTGTCCGCCTTATATTTTTGGTTGAGAATGAATGTTATATTTCACTGGTCTGTATTTCTTATGTTGACCATTTCAACATAAAAACCTAGATCTAAGACACTCCAACTTTTCGAGTATTTGTCGCGGATCTAAAATATAACAAAATTATAAACATAGACAAACTAAATACAGTAGAACTATTCATAACCAGGCTCCGTTCGACCGAATCACAAGAAGGTAGCAAAGCCGGCCTCCAGATTTGTTTACATCTGTTTCCTTGAACTAACTTCGATAACATACCCCCAAAAAAAAAAAAAACAAAACAACAATATCGATAAAATTCAGTTCCCACCCAGTTCTTGCCTAACGCATGGCATGCCGCCCTCGCTCGCCATGCGCTCACGCGACATGCATGGCGCGCCTGCCTTTGAACGAGCGGTTGTTTCCTTTCCCCTCTGCTTATCCTTTTCCAAACTCATTATAACGACGAGCGGAACGAACACAGCTGAACACGCGCGCGTTGCTAGCTGAATTGTTCAAAACGATTTGATATGGTGTTTTGGAAGAGACCGGAAAATGGATGGCGAATAGTCGCTGTCTCGCACCGAACGAGTGCGCCCTACGCTCTGACCGACGCGTCAGGTAATTTGCAGTGTAGCGGGCGGCCAAGTCCGTGTCGGTCAACTGCATCTTCAGACGCTAGCGGGAAAAGTCCTGCTGTCGAATCAGACCTTTGACACGAGATAAGAGTTCTGGATTCGCTTGCGACTATTATGCTCTTACGCCACATATCCATCGTCTAAGGAAGAATTATGCTTGATTATTACAAGACGACGTCTCTAGCAAAACTGGAGGCTCACGCGCCTGATCGCCAAAATCATCAGCCTGTTCGGTTGGCTGGTTCGTATCGTTGCTGATTCGTTTATATGAGAGAGAAGTACTGCTGGCTGGTTCATTGGAACAGTGTTCATGTGAGCGAGCTGGCCAACCCAACCAGCCAGCCAGCCCCAGCCGAACACGGCGCATGCCATGGACAAAGGATGAGCTAGCTAATCATCTCTTGATTCGGACTGAACGATGTGTGTGGTGATCATCAGCTAACACCAATAAACTCCACTTGTGGTGATCATCGTCACCTAAACACATCATTTATATATATATAGGCAGCATCAATCATCCTATGTCTCCTCTGCGGTGCCTCGATTGGTAACATATTTGGGCTGCTATATTTAGGCAAAGATAGTCCAGGATGACCAGTACTACTTGTAACTGGGATGAAAGCTTTTGAGATTCCCACTTCCCAGCCTGAAAAACACCACCAACATTGCAGTTGCATATACGCAAGGACGGTATGGATACACCAAGAGCACAGTCCTAGCACGCCTTTTAGTTTGGGGTGTATTCCATTATTATTGCCTAACGTGCAGGTCATGCTCCCTTTGATTTCCATGGCCACTCTGTCTGACTTGCATACTAGTACCATCAGTCTCGTTCTCGTTTATGGACGATGCATGTCCCGACAGATGGCTGGACTGGAATATATATGCTCATGTTTTGCATGACTGAAGCTAATTAACGAGACGACGGCCATTAGACCTGTTGTGTAGATGATTGATACTTTTTTTTGGTTCCTACCGCCTACATACGTACATTCAGGGCCGCCACGCAACGACCAACAACAATAAGGTCTTGGTTTCCGACCAGCATTTCTACGGAGTTGGCCTTCGGGTCACTCGCCTCATACAAGAGACAAAACAACATGTATTTCGAAATCAGCCGTACGTATGCTGGTTTTGTAAGCTAGCATACATATACATGTACGAAAAAAACATAGTTCCAGGCACTAGTCTATACTATAGTAGTATTCACGAAGAAAAAGGGCATGAGTGACATGCACGGTAGTAATTGACTATAGCAAATGCACGTCTAACCATCCCTGGCTCCAAGAGTTCAAAACCTGCCGAACTTGGCCAAGCAAGCACAGCACGGACGTACTACTAGTAGTAAACCGTAACTGAATTGATGTTGACCTGATCGTCAGCATTGTGTGCTGCGTCAATCAATCTCTGCATTATATTCCACCAAGGAAAAGAGCCTCACACTCGTAGAGTAGGAAAGACGGGGGAAAAAATCTAGACACGTCTCGATCGATCTCCCTATATATACCACCACCAAATTTTACTTTTGATTTACGTACCAGCTAGCGGCAGATCATTATCACACCTCTGCTCTCGTACAATTCATATAGCTAACACTAGCTAGCAGCAGCCAGCAGCACTGCTGCTCCGCCTCTCGATCGATCGGTGTCATGGACTACGGCAACGCGAGCACGGGCACTACGGCGGCGCCGCAGCAATATAACTACTGTCGTTCGGTGTCGCCGCCGTCGAGGGTGTCGTCGTGCTCCCCACCACCGCCGCCTCCTCCCGCCGTCCAGGTGGTGGGCAACGTGCCGCCGATGGTTGTCATGAGCCCGTGCGCGGCGTGCAAGATCCTCCGCCGCCGCTGCGCCGACGGCTGCGTGCTGGCTCCCTACTTCCCGCCGACCGAGCCCGCCAAGTTCACCACGGCGCACCGCGTGTTCGGCGCCAGCAACATCATCAAGCTCCTCCAGGTACGGTGTGGGCCGCGCACAGACATGCACGCACGCACGGTTTCTTTCTGATGAGCGCGTCAACAATGTGCGGCGGACATGCACGTTACATGATCTACGTCGTCTACGGTGCATATCCAGGATTTGCCGGAGAGCTCGCGGGCGGACGCGGTGAGCAGCATGGTGTACGAGGCGGAGGCGCGGCTGCGGGACCCGGTGTACGGGTGCGCGGGGGCGGTGTGCCGGCTGCAGAAGCAGGCCAACGAGCTCAAGGTGCAGCTGGCGCGCGCGCAGGCCGACCTGCTCAACGCGCAGGCGCAGCACGCCAACCTGCTAGCCCTCTTCTGCGTCGAGATGGCCAACCTCCGCGGCAACCACCACCAGCAGCAGCAGCACCCGTCGTCGCCGCTGACGACGATGGACGGCGGTGGCGGCGGAAGCGGATTCGGCGCGGCGTACCAGCAGACGTTTTACGACTCGGACCTGGACTCGGTGACGTGGCCGGATCACGAAGCCCAGCTCTGGACCTAGCTGATGCATAGACGCTTGTAGTAGCTCGAATACTACAAGTATACTTGCATAATAACAAATATTAGTAGCAGCACATGTACGTGCTGCAACCGTGTAGGGACGGCAACGTACGTTTCGAGCTCTTCGGATGCTGCAAGAACGCTGTGTAGCCGGCCGTTATTATGAAGTACACCCCGTGAATACGATTATTTGCTCTTGAATGCATCTTATATTATCTTGCTCCGTATTACGCAACGAACAGGTTCGGCTGATGTAGTACGGGGCTGATGACGACGGCGACGCTGACGAAAAAATGTTTGTTACGATCATTCAAACAAGTACACTGAGAAGTACTCCCGGCCCACGAGGGCATGGCGTTAGCATGAGTTGACTTTGCTATCTACTAGTAGCATGTCTAAGCTAATTTGTGTGTGCTACACGAACTGATTTTAGGCAATTGCCGGACGGCTCAAATGGATCTCGAACGAACGGTCATGTACGTGCGGATATGCGAGCCAGCTCCGTTCAAGACTTGACTACCCGTGTATCGCAATCAAAAGCAGAGTTCTCAATTGAACTTATCAGTCATAACACAGAGCAGAAAAAATCAACCGACTTATCAGCCGTGGAGCCGAACAGCTCCACGGTCCGAAGAAAAGAACCAGCCAAAAACTGGCTACCATACATGCATGTCACACAGCTGCTAGCCTCATTCGGCATGTATTACGAGCAGCCCTGCTCCTGCGTGATAGATTTTCGTGGGCATGCATCATGCATGCGTGTTGCTTTGCGTGGAACACGCTGCGCATCCCCTTCTCCTTCTGTGACGTGACAGACAGGTGAGCAGAGACCGCGGCGCACACCCGCGACAACAGCAGAGATGAGTATGCATGCATGTCCCCATGAGCAAATCAGTCGCTCGCCATCACAGACGACACCAAAAGAAGGCTGCCGAACTCTATCTCCAAGGCGTACTTTATTTGGACTGGCAGGCCGGCCGGCCGTCGTATTAACGGTTTCCAAGTCTCGCATGCCAACCATGCGAGCTGGCTGCACCTGCACTGCATACAGACGACGACGGTCGTCCAACTACCTGATGCACACGGTCATCGTCGTCGGCGAAGTACCACCTGTGCCAGCAAATCACTGAACAGCATTAATTTTTCGAAAAGCTCTGAACAGCATTATTATTAGTCTGTAGTTAAGCCCTAGGTTAGAAGCTAGCGTGTTCAGCGTGTGCTACCACACCGTGGAATCACGCCGCATGCATCCAAACACGTACATTGGATGTACATGCACAATGTCCAAGAGAAACAAAAATGTCAGACGAGCTGCTCCCAATCTGCTGGAAACTTTGGCACGCGATGGTAATTGAACGATATTTGTTTGTGTTTTGTTGCGCATCTTCTTCCGGAGGATGTGTGCTCACACCTTGTACACTATCCGTAATCACTATATATGATTCATAAAAATGGAAAATTGATACCCGTATCTTTCCACTCGCAAAGTGTCAACACCCACGCAAGCAACAGCGCCAAATGCCGGCCACCAACACCTCGCCGATCGCCGCCGCCGGAGTTGGTATAGCCAGAAAGCTGGCTATGGGCTACCACAGTGGCGGCATGGTGGCAGTGACGGTGCTTGAGCTAATTTTCAGCAGGGAGAGTGACACTAATTAGGTTAGAGCAAAGAGCAAAAGTATACAAAATATTGCAGATTGGGTTCTAATTCTATAAAAATTTACTAGGGGTGGCCATGTGTTGACACCAATTTTGGCATACCCAAAAATGTGTGAACATTTATACCATATTAAATAAAATGATATAGATGATCAAATTTTATATGAATATGATATAGGCAAATAAGAAATAATATAATATCGCTAAAGAGGAAAAGAAGATGGAGCAAAAAGAAAAAGGGTACACACATGTACATATATGCATGAGCGTGTTCACGCCCGGAAAGAAAATGAAACTATAATGTATGTATATATATATATATATATATATATATATATATATATATATATATATATATATATATATATATATATATATATATATATATATATATATATATATATATATATATATATATATATATAGTTGGCTATAAATATAGTACATACAAATATGCACGACAAGCAAAGGTGTATGCTCGTGTATTTCATTTGTGTAAATCAAATACCATGTACTCATGTGAATACATGGCCGGCTGGCAAATCATCCGAAGAGCACATATGAAAATAAAATACTTTGTTGATTCACTAAAATAATCAATCATTTTCAATGTCAAAAGATGATGTGGTGATTAGTGGAAAATTACGAAGAAGAAAAGAAAGCTAGAATAAAGAAAGGAGGACATATCGTCGCATATATGCATGAGCATGACTATACCTTGGCAAAGTATAGTGACAAAAGCACAGCTATTACATGTCATATTAAAAAAAGCGCTCGGCCGTAAATACATACACGCTTCGATACGCATGGATTAAAAAAAGAGACCATATATATCATGCGTGCGATGCGTGTACATACACAGCAAGCGTATAGCACGTGTATCACACGCCGGCAAGGAGGGAGCTCCTGAACGCGCTCTACACATTCAAATTGAGTCAAGAGCTGGTCATACACAACTCCGTGATCGGTGTTCAACAAGCGGCAACGCAAAGTTCAAACTCCAGCGCGCGCCGGCGTCATTAGCGAAGGGAAATCAAACTCCGTCGCGCCGTCGAGTCCAGTCGTCGCTCTCGCCGCCTTAGACCTTGACGTGATTTCAAATCGCCGAATCGCTGGTTGCTTGTCTATAAGTAGCGAGCTAGTGCAAGCGTTAAGCCGCCGCCCCGCTCCATGATCGTAGTGCCTCCAGCTGCCGCTCCATAGCCCTGAAACAAAGCGCGTGTTGGCTGCGCTGACCGCCTTCGCCACCGCTCAAGCGCCGCCACCGCTCAAGCGGAAGGCCACCGCGCCAGCATCGCCACCAAGCTGCAACACCTACCAGCAAAAGCTGCTGGTTCTGTTCGTCGGGTTCCAAGAGAAGAAGGTGAGAGGCTGCATGGCGCTTCTCTAGTCCCTACCTCCACCTTCGTCGTCTTGGCTAATGCATCCACGAGCTTCATCAAGAAACTCGCGGGCGGCATCGCGGGCTGGCCTATGTCATTGCGGATGGGCGCGTGGCGTAGGTCTTACCCCGTAAAAGGAGAAATGGTGATGGTGATGGTTGCGCTTCGCGCATGGGCTGCAAGCCACGGTAAAAGATCGCCATCAAGCGATGCCATGCGCAGCTTTGCGGGCTAGGCCTGCCCCTGGTGAAGGTGTAAAAGGCAGCAAATATGCCTCGGTGAAATGTGGGTTTGGATGCGTTTTGGCTCCACCCCGACGACGTTCATGGTGAACTTTCGGTTGGGCGCGATCTTGGCTCCAACCCGGTTAAAGATTCATGGTACAAAATTGGTGGACGCGCTTTGGCCCCACCCTGTTCATAGTAAATTTGATATGGACGCTTGTCGGCTCCATATCTAAACAAATCTACATGTGTTTTGGCCACGGCAACGCCGGCCCGTTCTTATCATGCATCAAAGAAAATAAAGAACTTGCATGCTACTGCCATGAAGAAAGATTATGCATGGGTTTCTATCAAATCAAAGAAACAATCATATGTGCAAACGAAATTATATAAAAAAACAAGACATTGACAATGTGCTGCATATTCAGTCCATGCATATATGCCTTGAGCGTCGCTAGCGTGTTAATTAGTGTCTTGTGCACAAAGTTAACTTACTTAGCGTCTGCGCATACCTCCTGTACTCATGCATTACACCAGCATGTATTGCACCGGGCAACCATGATAAAAAGCAAATCATGCACTCAACTAAATTGCGGCTATGAAAATGTGTAGTAGTCCCCCGCCCAAATCACCGTATCATGCAAAGCAGGTTGGCATCTCGCATGTCCTATGTCCTGCAAACAAAATAAAGATCATATGCAAATTAACATTGCCTTCGGTCTAACTACATGCACGCAAACAATACTTTGCATGTTGCATAGTCATGACATTTGTCAATGGCGTCTTAATCAATAAATAAACAAAACTCATATTGCACTTCTCCACGTAATGAATAGGTTACGGTTATTAATGCATTTCAGTCAAATAAAAAAACTATGACGTTGTAGGTCTCGGTATACTCACCCCACAGACTTGAGCTTCCGTGCCATCGCAAAGTAAATAAAAGTATATAATTAAAACAAAAGAAATTATACTTTGCTTGCATAAAAACATGTCGGTTCATCGATGTTTTGCTCCACGGTCTTGCATGAACGGCATGATCAAACCGCCTATACCACATAGACAAAGCCAATTAGTGTTGCATCAAAATCAACACGGCTATGCAGTGATAAACTCAAATAGCCACTCCCATGGTCTTGACCTAATTAAAATTAGGAAGCAGATAAGAAAACCTGCACATCATGTCATGGTCATGCCGGGGAATCAAATATGTCTAATCATGCATTAGATGAAATTACCCCATTTTAAATTAGGGCTAGACCATATAAATAAACTTAAATAAATTGATTTCATCATATCAAATTCTATACCACGATCGCCCATGCTAATTAACTTGCTGCGGCACCAGGGTTAGAATAACCAAAATGTCATGAGCATCGATATAAACTTAGTTAAGTCAAATAAGCATTGTCATATTTATCATAATTTCCAGGCGCATCATCCATGCCCAGCGTAGGCCTTCCAAGTGCCATGCATATAATGGATAAATTAAATATTGCATCTTAGCTTGATTGTATCCATGAACGCTCAGGTTTAGACAAGTTGTTAAAAAGGGCAAACCAAATTAAATGGGATCATATAGCATCGTGCATGCGAATCCCTGGCCAAACTCCATACCATGAGTGTGTATGCTAACCTTGATAAAATGAATTAATTACACGCTCCCCGGTCGAGCTAGGCGTTGCAACATGTCTTTTGAGCCTTAGCAAGGTCAAAATATGTTGTCTTAGCCTAAA